TTTATTATTAATAGTCATTTTTAACCAACAATTCTTAAATCTAATACTATATTTTGTTTCTTATTATTTAGTAATTTATGTAATCAAAACGATTATTAGTAAATATAGTGTATGAACTTGTTTGATGGCAATTGGAGACCCCAACATGCGCTTTTGCCCATTGCAAAAACACTGTAACACAGAAGTAGGCGTGCATGAACATTTCATGCCATACAATGTTGACTGCAGAAGAAGAGCGGGTGAAATGCAGTACCTATCATATTCAATTATGTGCCATCCGAATGCAAGAAGAAGCCACGTTAAAATAAGCCGATTAATTAATTCAATTCAAGAAGCCACTCAGAAACATTTTTAAAGGCATTACCACCAGGACAGTGTAAGTTATTTTTTAGCCTAATTAAAAGAAAAAAGACATTTTTCAATTACAATTTATTCAGAATCAAAGACCATGTCTCTGATTGCAGCAGGCAAGCTCCACCTTCCTCTGAATGTCACTGTCAACATGTCTTCCAATGTCCTCGCATTTCCTGGTGAGTACAAAACCATTTTTTTCACATTTATTAGTGAATGCACGATTACCCTTTTTAATCAATAACACCTCGTTTGTGTTGCAGATTCTTCTCCTCCGCTGGAGAGAGAGAACAGAACCTGTGGGAGTTATGCAGCTCACCTCTTCGCAAAATGTTCTATGTTTCTAAGAAAATGTGGTGCTTGCTCTATGTTTGCATATAATGAGGAAAAATACACGATGACATGAAAATCATTACCATCAATTTTGGTAATCTCTTGGTATTGCTGTGCAATAAATTTTGATTTGAAGTGACACTATAATAGTAGTAGTAATTTTCATGGCCGTGATTTACATTTACTCCAATGTCATCCCTAAAAACATATTTAATCATTTATAATAAGTTATATTTAAGAGTGAGAATATGTGAGTACGTCAATGGATGTAACTGATTAAACAGGACCAGCCATAAATTACCGAATTTTGAAGAGTCCAGGCTATTTACTTTCATTTAAACGCCCATTAACCAGATAAAATTTTTTTCAAAACCCAACCGGAGAATTATTTGGCCCCATTGTAATATAACACAAACATGGTATCTCTTATTGTATGACATAATATCTCTTTCTTCTAACACATTCTGTGATGATTTTTTCTTGTGCATTTCACTAATTGGAATTACGTCCAAACTGCAGGACTCCATATATTCATTTAACCTCAAAAAGAATAAAGAAATTTGTGCGTAGCAAGTGTAAATAAATCGAAACATACTTAGAATTCAACTTTGGTTGAGCTTCACTTTCCTACACAAGATATGTACCCAAAATTGAAGATGTTTTGATGTGTATTATAAATGAAATATCATTTTGCGGGATTAACTGTCTCAGTTATGCTTGTTAATTATTAATTCTTACTATTTTCTTACATGTTGCCTTGCGTTACTATATACATAAGCCTCATTGGAAAACCAGTTTGGATTGTTACTTAGGAAATTATATTACTTTCTGAACATTTTCACAAATGCAACATGACTATTTTGAGATAGTTTTAGGAATCGTTTAATTTTAAGTAGTTTTTGTATTTTTATATTTAGTTATATAACACGTATCTACATCCAATAGTAAACTATACTAATAATTTTTGCATTTATTCTGTGCACTTTTTTCAAACCCCCTAAACAAAAATGGTAGTTGGATTATAATGGACTGACCCAGCCTAGGCACGAATCTATTGGAGAATTTCTTTTATATTTATTGATATGTAAATTTAAGTCTGTCTTACACTACATATAAATTAAATTACCTTATCCATGATATTGTATTTAATACAAGAATTGATATTTTAAATTTAATTTATGTCTTATATTCAAATTTTAGAAAATCTCTATTGTGTATTGTATTGCTTATATGTATATATGTAATTTATTCTGACTTGTCATTGCATGGCGTATTTGTATTGTGACAAAATTTATATTATTTTTGTTTTGTTTAGCAGCCAGTGATATTTAGTATAATGAAGAGTATTACAAATTATGATTGGCACCATGATTTGTTTCCTTGTTTCACATAACCAGATTTTTTCATGCACATGTTATTTTTTTGTATTGTACCAATTTTACAAAAAAATATATTTATGGAAAATTTCTTTTTTAATTTTTACTTCCTATATTACATTACTTCACTTCCTCACATGTTACATGTGCTTTAAGAATTACTGTACTTCGTACATTTACCTGGGCATTCATTTTTATATGTCAAAACATTTCATTAAGTAACATAACCATGTCCGCCATATTGAAAATTTATCTAAATAATTGTAATTTCAAATAGCGCCGTTCACGTCCTCCTCCATTTCAATTGGTTTACTGCCTTTCGACGCTTATGGCTGCGGGGTCAAATATGGCCCCTCCTCGAAAATAAGGGCTTTCCGTTTAACATTGACTGCCGTCTCTGATATATACTCTCTGGTTGGACTAGCCCTTGTGAAGCATGTAAACTCGGTTTGTCGGAACAAATTTCGCATGAGATTGTCCCGCAATCGACGGGAGTCGAACCCTGACTTCGTTGGTGAAAGGCAAGCTGAATGGCAAGGGCAAGCGACTGCACTCTGAGCCAAGAGATAGTTATGTAGGAATCTAGGGCGCTAAGTAGATGTCTTTGCCCCGATGGCTTCTTCTCTATCCCAAGGGATTGAAAGTCGCCAGATGGACCGACGTATCAAACAAACATTGCCCTGCATACAAAACTTTTTTGCATATCAGCCGCTGTTTCCGTGACAGCCGCTCTTTCTAGGAGAATTCTAGCGGCTGGCTGCTCTGATCGGTATTTGTCCGTGGTTTCTTTCATCAGCACCAGAGGAATGTCGGAGCAGAGCCCTAACAAACGGGCCACGGACCGCACGCGATCTTTCCTTCTCATTCTTTGATCTCACCTCACCCCTTTTTTACACACATTTACATCCACGTGCACTACACTATCACACATGCCGCATGCCGGGAGACCGGTCGGGAGCTTAGAGCTTGTCACGGTGCCTCGTTGGTGGGAGATACTTGGATGTGGAAACCCACGCTAGCCGACGGTAGACCGGATCTCGCCATACAGGGAAAACCACCTCCCGAGCTAAAACACGCACTACACCTATAGGACTAATGACCCTGTTAGTTGAGGCGCCCTCAATCACTAACAGTCAATCAATCAATCAATCAATCAATCAATCAACGACCGCCCGGTTTGAGAGACAACAGTGCTTTGAGCTATTGCAGCCGGTGAATAATTTTTCGCCCATAAATATTCCATCCACACAATTTTTGTAGTCATTGTCGTGTGAATTGCGAAAACTGACTATAATTACAATAAGTTTCCTTCACTACATCAGATTTAATGTTCGCCTCCTGGCACACAAGGAACACTGTTTTATCAAGACACGTGAACCGTATAAGACAATTGCAAACATCTGTTAAGTTTTTCATTGTCCTTTTCTTTTCTCATTCAATGCGTTTATAATTAATTGATTCCAGTGTTTTCAAAAGGACATGATACATTTCACAGATAAAGGCTCTCCTACTGGATAAATAGAATTACTACCACTTGCATCTGCAAGAAAAGAAATGTTTTAACCGCAGTCCTCCATCACGTCATACTCTATTGGGAAAGCCCAATGCAAAGTAGCCTCTGTTGATAAATCGTGATCCACACTCCCGCTCCCGCTTGCATCCTGTTCTTGATTGCAGGCTACTTTCAAAACAGTCACGCGTTAACACTTACCAAGAATGACATAACTGTTCAGAAATAACTTACAGAATTCAAAAGGATGATGTGAAGAGAAACAGTCATGCATTTTTACTTAAAAAGGATATGGCCAAATACGGGGGTGAAAAGTGCCTCCAAATCAAATGGATAATCACGATACTCATATGACGGAGAATAAAAAAGTCGTAGATTACAAAAAACTCAGACTCCTAGGCCAATGTGTTACAAAGATATAATGAGAAACGTGTTTTTCACGTTTAATTTTTTCTTAGCTCCTATTGCATGTAGCAGGATGAAAAAAATTGTAGGGGAAAATAGTTGAATTTAAAGATAATTTTTTCAACCAATTTTAACGCCAAATTTACATTTTAAAAAAGTATTGAATTTTTTAAATTAATTTTCGACGTAATAACGTTAGAGTACATTCTCAGTTTTTTCCCTAGAATGTGTCTCATAACATTCAATAACATATATATTTTTTTCAGATTTTTAAACAATCTGGACGAAAGTAAGAAATAATTACAACCAATTTTATCAGTTCAAAACTTTTAAATGCAAAAACGCTGCTGAAAAAAACCACGCAAAATGGTTTTCCAAAAAGTAGCACGCACACTGCTCAAGAACAACAAATTGAATTCTCTCGAAAAACACTGCAATAAATTAAATATTTAAGGAAAAACATTGTTCACAAGTACGGCAATAACTCAGAAAGAGTAAATATATTACAACAGTTGCTTACGTACCAAGACTATCAAAAAGTTGCTGTTCCATAACGCAACAGATTGTCGCAGATAACGCAACAGTCTTAACTTGAATTTCGGCAAAAATATTAAACACAATCTTGTCATTCTGCGATAAAAAATGTTTGGCTTCTTTTTTCAACTCGAATGTGTTAATGATTCCCAGAACGGCACAACTATATCTTATTCTTGACTAGTTTCTAATATTTCAGCTCAAAAGATTCTAGTTTGACATAGTTATGCTTAACAAATATTTCTGTCCATTCATACAAACAGAACATAGACATTCCGATTTCCTGGTTCAAACTTGCGCCTTTCTTTTCGCAATCTGTAGCAGTCTCAACCACCTTCAGAACATCACTGATAGACCTGACGTTTTTGCAACGTAACAAAACAAAAAACCTTAAACATGGATGTTACGACTGAGAATTCGAGATGGTATAGTTGAAGTGATTCCATTACTATGGTGTTGAGATGAAAAGTAAAAATGATTCTCTGTTTTCAGTGGTGTTCTTCACGGACTACGAAGACAGAAGCCTGTGTCGCAGCAGTGCGGAGTGCGAGCGGTCTAAAGCCTGCCTGCAGGGCAGGTGCCTGGACCCCTGCCCAGGCGTGTGTGGGAACGGTGCTATATGCCGAGTTGTACAACACACTCCTACCTGTTACTGCCCGGAAGGCACTCTCGGAAACCCGTTCGTCAAATGCGCTCCGCAGATTGGTGCGTACTCGTTATATATTTTCAGACGGACGTCCGTTCTCAGCTAGTCCGTAACTTTTTGTGTTAAAGGGTCAAAAACAAAACTTATAAAGAACCTATGAAAATATGTTAAGGTATTTATTATAATATACACTCCATACATTTTAGTTTCTTTATAATTATTTTTAAACTTTTTATTAATTAAAGGATTATTTTTTTAGTTGTATTTAGCTTTATTAGTTTAATAAGAATGTTGATTTGTGGGACCGGCTTAGTTGGCTCAGAGCATCAACTGATGTCACTCCCGTGCCTCTGATTTGAAAGTCCTATAGTTCGAGTCTCGTCGATGGCAGGATTTTCAACTGTAGCTGCTACATAGCTAGTTCGAATTCAGCCGCTGTCTGGAGGAGAATTCTAGCGACCCTCTGCTCTGATCGGTAGTTTTCCATGGTTTCTGCACTCAACACCAGGCGAATGCCGGAACAGTACCTTATCAAAGGACCGCGCGCTATCTTTTCTCCCTCTTCCTTGTCCTACCTCTTAATGACACACACATTTGAATATGTGGGGAGCTTGTAGCTTGTGCCGGTTGGGACGGTGCCCCGCTGGTGGGAGATAACCGGTTGGGGAAAACCCCAGCAGTCGAAGTGTAGGTAGGATCTCGCCATCCAGCTGGGGATTAACACCGCCACTTCCCGCGGTAAATCATACCCTCCACTTACGGGACTGATGATTTTAGCAACAGTTGCTACTGGAAAAACCACTCAATCCTTACCTCGTAGCTAGATTGACACTGAGATCAAAGGAGAGAAAAAATTAATTACAATAGCTTGCAATGTTTTTCATACAAGTTTAATATCATATCTTTTATTATAAGTATGTATTATAATATAGAAATTAGAATATAGAACCAATAAGGTTAGACCCTGTTTCAGTATATTGCACTCAAGACGAGATAGTCAAGATCTGAAACTCAGTGTACGTCACTTTATGTTGACTACAGTAGTGCTATAAGATCTAATTTGATTATATATTGCGGGTAATTAAAAAAAATCATTGTGGTAACCGATTTTAATTATTTTTAAGTATAATGCTTAATTTTTATATATCAATTTTGAACCGTTCGTATGTAAATAACGAAATCTGACACTTTGCGATGCATAGGAAAATGCAATGTGATATTAATATTTACACAGAACGAACTGCATATGCTGTAATATACAAGTAAACTACATTATGGTATTGCATCGTGAGATTTTTTTAAAATGTCTGTTTAATCTTTCAGGAGGACCCATGTGCTCCGTGGATTCTGACTGCAACCCGACCAGTTTTTGCGTGAACGGCAGATGCGAAAACCGTTGCCGGACGAATCCACCGGTGTGTGGGTTGAACACTGTTTGCACCGCCAACCCTCGTTCAGTAGACTGCAGGTGTTTGGAAGGCTTCATTGGCAACCCATTTAAAGCATGCTTCCCCCAAGAGGGTACGTATGAGTGTTTCTCTCGGAAAGCTCTCTAGTTGCTACAAACAAATATATTCTGACATAATTTGTATTGGTTATACAATATTATAAAATTAGAATTTAAATCCTGCTAATACTACATCCATTTGTTGAAAAACTCACCAAACGTAGTTGGGAGATGCGATAAATAAATAAAGATATTGTCTGGTATCAATACTTTTTATTCAGCTTATGATCGTTTCGATCGGATAGCGATCATCCTCAGAGCTAAAATGTGAAATACAAATATTATTAACAGGTTGTAGTTATTGTATGCAAGATGTGTAAGCAAACTGGGTCGTACCTACCTTGCAGCTTCCGGGTCGAAAACACAGTTCTGCGAATTTTTGAGTGTGTGTTTTGTTTAAGAACACAGCCGGTCGGCAGCGGGAGGGGGCGGGAAGAGGGGTAGGGTGCGGGTGAAGGGTCGTAAAACGCAGGTGAACGCAGAGGTGAACCTCTGCTAAAATTAGCACAAAGTGTACACCACTAACCCACCCCCAGCCCTCTCTACTCCACTGACCTTCGCTCGCTCGACCGTCTCTCAAGCCTCCACCAGCACCCCCGCGTTTTACGACCTTCACCCTCTCTCGAATTATTTCAAACTTCTGCAATTTGAAGATTCAGAGAGTTCGATGAAAATGAGACCTGCATTTCCTTTAAGCAATCCCCGTTCAGTCCGTGAAAAAAACGTACCGGTTTTTTGAGAAAATGTTATGTTGCTTCATTTCAAGCAAAAATTACGCCTGAACTAGTCATTTTTCCAATAATTGTACATGTCCATTTTTAAAGACCTGTTTTTAAAACATATTTCATTTATGACAAAAATATGTATCTTCAGACTTACAGTTTTGTAATGTTAACGTTTTGTAATTTTCAAAAATATAGTGTTCTCCAGAAACGGGACTAGCCCCATTTTTAACGGTCTTTCATATCAGAAGAAAATATAAAGAAAAAATTGGAGGGTTTTTTAAGAAAATAATTGTTTAAAAATTCCCTATATTTCACTAAAAATACCCAAAAATTCTGATATTTTCGAAAAATTCTTATATTTTCGAAATGTAGTACAAGACGTTATTTCAGGATCGATTTTAAAAACAGATTTCATTAAGTGGAAAAAAACATATCTAACTTAAATATTGTAGTAGTAGGAAGGAAAACAATTGCAATTTTCCAAAAAAAAAATAAATAAATAAAAGGGATTTCAAAGGAAATGAGATCATTGACATTATTTTAAGCTTTTGCCACGTTATTCAATAAGTAAAAAATTGAAGTGTAAACAGATATTTGGATGTATTGTTGAGAACATTTAAAGATGTTTAGGTGTCATGTAAAGTACCCCCCAAAATCAATACAGTCGCCATTCGTAAAGTCGTGACCAGTCCAATCGACACCAGTGCAGTCGGTAGTGCAGTCGAGATCACTGCAGTCAAGATCACTGCAGACGACACCAGTGCAGTCGAGACCAGTCCAGTCGAGATCAGTGCTGTCGAGACCAGTGCAGTCGAGACCAATCAAGTCGAGACCACTCCAGTCGACACCAGTCCAGCCCTCACCAGTCCAGTCGAGACCAATCCAGTAGAGACCAATCCAGTCGAGACCAATCCAGTGGAGACCAGTCCAGTCCAGCCAAGTCACATCCAACCAAACCTTCCCCC